TCTCCAAAAAGAGGGTGAAAGGTTCGAAGCCCACCAAGGGTGCCCCCTTGTTGGGGGAGTCGGTTGAAGACTGTTGCATGATGGAGGCCCGCAACATGGCCGCCGCAGTCTTGGAGGCGATAATTTTGCTCATGGCTTCCGTTGCAAAAACAAATAGCAAGGTTAATAAAAGTCATAACAAGAAATGCATGGAACAACAGAGTATTCGACAGGCCGGCTACCTCTTGAGCACCGACTGCTGAGGCCACAGGCGGCCAAAAAGTACACGTCGTAGAGCCATTTGAAGCTCGGGACGCAGTGCAGGGGTACTTGCTCTCGTACCCCTGAAGTAGAGTTCACCTTCGACTCTACTTTGAAGAGTCCTTTATCTAGGATCTCTTTCTTAGCCTTGGGGGGAACAGGCGGCATGCTGCGGCCGCCTGCAAGAAGGGGTGGATTCCTGTTCCACCTATTGAAGCGCTTGTTCAGCTCTGTGTCTGAACTCTCAATGATAAGGAAGGTGCTCCGCCAGTCCTTCCATTTGTTTGCTTTACCTCTCGTCATGAGGTAGCCCCTGTGGCTCGTCAATTGATACCAGCCGGTACCGCCTGCCTTAGGGGTCCGACTGAGGTAGTTCATGTGGGCGAAAGCCTCGAAGTTCGGCTCCACCCCGTGCAGTTCGCACCCGGCCACATAGCCGAGTACGTTGACCCAGGAGTTCGGGGCTAACTGCCATAACCCCAACTCATACCCATCCAAGATCTGCTGAACAGCCGGATGTAGTGGGAAGCGCAGCCCAGCCTTGATGGCCGCCTCGTAGCAGCCAAAGCAGGCGCCATCATAACTGGTATCAGCCGGCCAGACGACTGTGTCTTCTGGATCCGGCACGAACACTAAAAAGTCGGGGCCCATTGTGTGGTTTGCGATAAAGCTCTCCACTTTCTCTTGCATGGCTGTGATCCGGCCCTGAGGTACCGTGCAGTAGTAGGGGGTATTTTGCTCTCGGTGAGAGGCGGATGGCTCCGCCCAATCGTCCCCCTTCTCAACTGCGTGAGAAAGCCTCGCCTCTTGTAGGCGACTGTTTTTCTCTTCTGCGTCCAGAGAAGCATGGCCAGAAGAGCTAGACTCGGAATCGTCCTCTGACGAGTCCGAAGAGGACGACTCCTCCCCTCTCCCGGAGGGGCCCGCCTCCTCTCCTTTAAAAGGAGCAGGAGAGAATGTAGAATTGTCAACTGTAAAATGGGAAGGGGTCACTTTGACTCCTCCCTCAGAACTGCCGGCTTTCAAGCCGCTTTGTTTCACTTCCACATCTGGCGCCTGGTCAGATGTTTCACTAATCGGCACCCTGTGGGAGGAGCCGTCTGAGTTTGAGATCCCGACAGTCTTTTTTGTTCTAGCCATCATGCTCTGCATAGACACAGATACAGTCGGACTTTGTATAAAGGGCAAAGATGGGTCCAGAAAAGGGCAGGCGGCACTCCTAGCCCTAGATTCAGCCGTCCCCGGTGACCGGCTGATCACTAACCTAGGTCGTGTCGTGTGCTTCCGTGGTGCCATTTCAAAAAAGAATAAAGTAAAGAGAAAATTAAGAGTAAGAGAACAGACGGTTACCTGAACGAGTGACGATTGATGAAGTTCTGAAAATCCTTTGCAGTCGGCTTGTCAGAGCAGGCGGTAGGCAGAAAGGGTCCAAAATGTCAGAGCAAGTTTAGGGGTCCGAATGTTCTCTCACAAAGTTTTCAAGTGTGAAAATGACCGAAGTCAACACTCCTTTATATAGGCGAAGTGAGAAGGCGAAGGGTCACTTCCAGAATTCAAAATTTTGGCGGGAGAATCTCTCGGCCTCTCGCCGAGTGACACCTATAGCAGGCCGTCGCCTGTTACAGGGCGATACCTGTCACAGGTAACACGTGACCAGTCACGTGCCACCTGTTAGGGGCAAATGATTAGGGGATTTTGCTCCCACCAATCGGAATGCGCCACGTGGGCCAATCAGGTCCTGCCAAGTGTTCCCAGTTGGACCTCTCAGGGCTTGCCATGTGGCACACGCTTGTTCGTCCGCCTTGGACCTATTATGTCATGACACGTGGCATACTCCATGCCTAATGGAGAAGTCGGCCACCCAGGCCCAACTTCCGTGGGAAGCCCAATCAGCCCAAGGTTAACCTAAACCTAGATTGGCACGTTTCCCGAGGTTATAAATACCTCCCTTAATCCTCATTAAGGGAGATTACGCAGATTACACACATTAAACTTTCTCACCTAGAGAGACCCAATCACTTTAATTTCCGCATTAATTATTCCTTAATCAAGTACTAACTTGACCGTCGGAGGTGGATCTCCAATCATCCGGAGCATCCGTTTGTTTTGCAGGTACAGGCGTCCGGTTCCAGTCTCGGAATTGTAACTCTCCCGCAGGACATCAGAAAACCCCGAAACAACACCCATGCAAAATTTACTTAGTACGGCATAAAATTATCTAATGGGTCCCTACCATTCCATGCAATATTTGTATTCTTGTTATTGTCACATTCTAGCCTTAATCTGATGTTCTAGCTATCTATTTCTGTTACTGTACTTGTACGCTTTACTTGTGGTCTATCTCTTCTCAATTCATCATTTTTTGGGATTGAGGAAAATAAATAAACCAGCTTTCTCTCCTCTCAATACATCTATAAAATGTCGGTCATTTTCCACGCTTTCCATTTTCAAATCAGTTAGAAAATTTTATCGAGCAAATTCAATTAATTAATTTGGGTATGGGATGTGGAATCTGTTTTTTTTTTTTTTTTTTTTTTTTTTTTACTTTGTAAATAATGCAATTTAGTTAAGTTAAATGTCAATGGCAAATAAGCATGACTATTTCACGAGAAAATCCTGTGCTTGTTACACCCTGAAACATACAAAAAACAAGCAGATAATATAAGAAAAATCAAGCAGATAATATAAGAAAGGTAATACTCCCTTTGTTTTTTTGTTTTTTTTTTTTGTTTTTTTAAAGTGCCCCATAGTGACATGACACACACGACGATTTAAAACTTTAACCAATAATATCTTAAATTGTCATTAACTATACACGGTCAAACTATAGCATTTAAAATTTGTTAGTCATGAAATTACCCAATAATTTTACAAACCCATACAAAAAAATGAAAAATGTTAAATAAAACCAAAGAATAAAAAAGAGAGAGAGTCAAAAATGAAGATGCTCTGAATCGTTGCAGAAGATTTGGAACTAACCAACTCTCTCTTCTTCCTCTCTCTTAACTCACTCTGCTACTCACTCACGCATTCTGCACCACGCTTAACCTCAACCCTACCCCCTACATTTCGTGGGTCCCACCCTCTGAAACGACGTCGTTCACCCCCTTCTCCTCCTCCTCCTTCTCTCTACAATGATAATGGCCATTTCTTCAACAACATTATTTTCCGTTTTAGTGAGAGAAACTCATCAACACTTCTAGAGAGAGAAACTAAGTACTCCCATTTCTGTACGGATAATCAACCTAAGTTTTACTCTACTCAGGTTTGTCTTCTTCAACAATTTTTATTTATTTCTTTAACTTTTTGGAAGGTGATTTTGTTTTTCTGATTTTTGATATGAATTTTGAATATTGGAAGAAGCTATTCAAATATGTTGTTGTTTTCCCGTGTTTTGTTTTTTCAGATGTTTTTGTCATTTTCAAAGTTGTCAATAACTCTAATTCGTTTAATTTGTCATTTTCTAGTATGGAATTGTTGTTATGTCATACTCACCCATCTTAATGGCTAAATTCACGATAAAATCACGAGTCGATAGTTGTTACTCATAAGGTAAAATCACGTGTTAATAGGTGTTAAAATGGATATAAATTTACGGGTCAGATTGATATTAATAATACTTATTGGTGGAGGTAGAGTTGCATTTAATTTATTTCTGTGTGATTTTGGTTGGATTAAATACTTTTATAATAATAAAGGTTCCAGTTACTAGCTCATGGATTGGATGGTTGCGTGTGCTACTATTAAAATAATTTAATTACTCCACATAAATAAAGATTGCATAAAATCTTTTTCGTGTGCTTGAATTGCATAAAATATAAGCTACATTCTTTTAATGTTTAATTAAATTTAAAAAAATCTATGATTATTTAATTTGGGTTGTTTGTTGCTGGAGTTTTTGTACATGTATTAGTAAAGTGGTTGAAATTTGCAGCATTTCAGTACTAGTATTCAATGGAAGTAGTTTGATTAATAACAACCTACAGTACATTAATTATCTGGATTTTAATAAAATGAAAAGTAGAATGAATTAGGGTTTAAATTTGGGGATGATTTGGGACCACAATTAGGGGTTGAAGCTAAAAAATTGGAACCATTCTTGATGAATTATGTTTCCTGGGTTTGGAACTTTCTATTTTAAGTAATCAATTTGAAAAATTGGGTTTCTGAAGTACTAAAAGTGGGGTACCCGTGAACCGTGATGGGTTTAAGGTGAGAAAAATGAAATGTGGGGGTCCAAAAAGTTTTTTTTTTTCACTGTTCTTGTGATTTTTGGTTCAGGGGAAAATCAACTTTGGACGCTTTTTAATTATTTTTTTGAAAATCATCATTTTGTTGCTATGTGGTTGTCATGTTTGTGCTTTTTTTTTTTTTGGTTCTTTTGTTTTGAAAGATTAGTGGGAGTTTGTGTTCTTAATATGTAATCAAGGTGGGTAATTTAATTAGTGTGTTATAGTTGATTTCTTACTTCTGAGACTAGAAATGTGGGTAAGGATGAGCGCGAAAGAGAGTCGAAAAAGTGCCTTTCTTGATAGATTATCACTCTTTAATGGTAGTTTACTTAGGAGTGAGGGTGAAAAAGTGATAATGAATTACCTTAAAATTTGTACATATTTCATATAAAGTATCCTCCAATTTCTTAGGGTTTAATTTAATATGATACTTTTTGTATATGCAGGGATGCTAATCTGAAGTATTGAGCTTGTATAGAATGATGATTCCGAGCCTGGTTTATTTAGTGCTGCTTATGCTATGTGCAGCCAATGGTTCTAGCGATATTGAGATAGTCACTTCTCTACGGAAGGGGTTAATCCAGAGAAAAGAAATGATTCCTAGCTGGTTTTTCCCAGAGTTACCTGTGTGTAACTGGACTGGTGTAGTATGTGAAGGCTTGGACATCCTTGGGCTTAGTATTCCTTGTGGATCTTTACCGCTAGACCTTCCTTTTCCTAATACCATAGGGGAGCTAAAACATCTGAAGTATCTTAATCTCAGTCAGTGTGGGTTCAATGGCATTATTCCTGATAATGTCTGGAGTCTCGAGGAACTCATGATTCTGGACCTGAGTGGCAATGGGTTCTCTGGAACTCTACCTTCAACAGTGTCCAACCTGAAAACTCTCAGGCAACTTGTACTTGATGGCAACAACTTGTCTGGTAACTTGCCTTCGTCGATTGGCCTTCTAACTGATCTTATTGAACTTTCTGTTAATGAAAATTTCCTCTTTGGGAATCTTCCGGCAGAGCTTGGAAATCTTTCAAAATTGGAGTCTCTTGATCTTTGTGCAAACTCTTTCTCTGGTGTCCTCCCTTCGAGTTTGGGTAACCTTGCTAGTCTGTTGTACTTTGATGCTAGTAACAACAAATTTAGTGGTCCTATCTTCTCTGGGTTAGGAAATTTAACAGGCCTTGTAAGGATTGATCTCTCATGGAATTCCATAAGTGGAACCATACCGGCTGATATTGGGAATTTGGGAAATCTGACTTCAATAAATCTGATGGGCAATATCATCAGTGGAGTAATACCATCATCTATTGGCAATCTCAAGTCGCTTCAGTTGCTTAATGTCCAGAACTGCAGACTTACAGGTGCCATACCTGAAGAATTGACTGAGCTATTGAACTTGGGTTACCTGGGTATAGGACAGAACTCTTTTGTGGGAGAATTGCCAGATAGCATTGGAAAAATGACCAGCTTAAAGCAGTTTCTTGCTGGAAATGCGGGGTTGAGTGGGGACATCCCTGGACAACTGGGTAACTGCAAAAGGCTGATTGATTTAGATCTTTCCGTTAATTCTTTCTCTGGTCCTTTACCGGATGGTCTTGCTGGGATGGATTCCCTTCGATCTCTGATGCTTCAGTCTAACCACTTGTCAGGGATGATCCCAAGGTGGATTTCCAACTGGAAGCAAGTGGTATCTATAAATATGGCTGAGAACCTCTTCACAGGGTCTATTCCACCACTCAATCTGCCTAAACTGATGTTTCTTGACATGAATTCTAACATGCTTTCTGGTGAGTTGTCTTCAGAAATATGTAATGCGAAGTCAATAAGTACCCTGTCATTGTCAAACAATAACTTCACTGGAAGCATTGAGAATACCTTCAGAAATTGTAGTGGTCTAAGTGATTTGACATTGTCGATGAACAATCTTTCCGGTGAGTTACCTGGTTACTTAGGTGATCTTCCTCTCATCACCCTGGCATTGTCAAAGAACAGATTTGAAGGAAAGATTCCCGATCAGTTATGGGAGTCAAAATCTCTGATAGGATTAATCCTCGACAACAATTTGCTTTCCGGAGAGATTTCTCCAGCTCTTGCCAAGGTTCAGACATTGCAGAGACTGCAATTAGGCAATAATTTATTTGAAGGGACCATCCCGACTGCCATTGGGAGATTGAGGAACCTGACCAACCTCTCTCTGCGCGGTAACCTGCTAACAGGAGACATCCCTGTGGAGCTTTTTAACTGCACAAGCCTAGTATCCTTGGATCTTGGTTCAAACAATCTTACTGGTCAAATTCCAAAATCCATTAAAAGATTGAAACTGCTGGATAATCTGGTATTAGCCCGGAATAACTTATCTGGTTTCATTCCTGAAGAGATTTGCTCTGGATTTCGAGAGGGGCCCTTGCCAGATTCCGAGTTCACTCAGCATTATGGCATGCTTGATCTTTCCTACAACAAGTTTTTGGGTCCAATTCCTGCATCAATTGGTCAATGCTCCATAATTAGGGAGCTGTTACTACACAATAATGAGCTGAATGGAAGCATTCCTTCTGAATTATCTAGTCTTTCCAACTTGAGCTTGCTGAATTTGTCCTCCAATCATCTAACTGGTCCGGCCATACCCAAAATGTTCACATTGAAGCAACTTCAGGGCCTTATCCTTTCGCACAACGAGCTTACTGGTTCTATTCCAGATAACATGTCCTCGTCAATGCCTAGCTTAACTGAGCTGGATATTTCATGGAACTTTCTCAGTGGTTCATTGCCACCTTCTGTGTTCAGTTTTGAAAGCCTTAGCTACCTTGATATCAGTGCAAATTCCCTTACAGGAACCATCCCTTGCCACATGGCATCCGCCAGCTTGCTGGTACATCTAAATGCTAGCAACAACAATTTTTCTGGCCCCCTTTGCGACTCCCTTTCAAACCTAACCACCCTTTCCTCTCTAGACCTGCACAACAATGCATTGACAGGAAGCCTTCCACCCTCTATATCAAACCTTGCTGCTTTGACATACCTAGATCTTTCCGGTAACAATTTAGAAAATTATGTTCCATGCAACATCTGTGACATTGAAGACCTCTCCTTTATCAATCTCTCGGCCAACAGATTACTGGGAATTGTACCTGAGTCCTGCACTGATCATAAAGGACCATGCTTAGCCTCTGGCCCTCAACGAACTTTGAAACACGCCCCTATTTGGGGTACTATAATAGGAGTCTTAGTTGTCCTTATTGTTCTGGTCCTCTGTGTGGGCAGACATCTGGTATCGAAGCACAAAGCAGCCCTTCGTGACTGTAAAAAGTGTGAGCTTGTAAGTACAGTTGAGCGGTCTGATGATGAGCTCGTGTGTAAAAAGTCAAAGGAGCCATTGAGCATTAATATTGCTACTTTTGAGCATTCTCTCACCCGCTTGAGCCCTGCAGATATTTTATCAGCCACTGACAACTTCAGCAAGATGTTCATAATCGGTGATGGTGGATTCGGTACAGTTTACAAGGCATCCCTGCCAGAGGGGCGAACCATAGCTGTCAAGCGGCTTAATGGAGGACATTTTCATGGTGACAGAGAATTTCTAGCTGAGTTGGAGACTATCGGAAAGGTTCAACATGAAAACCTGGTTCCATTATTTGGGTATTGTGTCTTTGCCGAGGAAAGGTTTTTAGTGTATGAATACATGGAGAACGGGAGCCTTGATGTGTGGTTGAGAAACCGAGCTGATGCAGTGGAAGCCCTCAATTGGCCCACCCGTTTTAAGATTTGTTTGGGAACTGCCCGGGGCATTGCCTTTCTGCATCATGGGTTTGTGCCTCACATCATTCACAGGGACATCAAATCCAGCAACATATTACTGGATCACAACTTTGAGCCGAAAGTCTCAGATTTTGGCCTGGCCAGAATAATCAGTGCTTATGAGAGCCATGTCAGCACCATTCTTGCTGGCACATTTGGGTATATACCTCCAGAGTATGGACAGTCTATGGTGGCGACAACTAAAGGTGATATTTACAGCTTCGGTGTGGTGATGCTGGAGTTGGTGACTGGTAGGGCACCAACAGGGCAAGCTGACATCGAGGGTGGTAATTTGGTTGGTTGGGTTCGGGTGATGATGGCCACCCACCGAGAAGATGAGGTGCTCGATTCATACATCCCATCTATCGCAAGGTGGAGGCGTCAGATGTTGCAGGTCCTCAGCATTGCCCGAATATGCACCAATGATAATCCTGCTAAGAGGCCTACTATGCTTGAAGTTGTCAAGCTGTTGAAGGAGATTAAAATTGAGGGTTAGAAGGATAAATAATTTCCCATATGTAGTGTAAGTTGGGAACTGTAATCTGAAGCAGAGTTTGCTAGGAGATAGGATCTGTATATAATTGACAAGAATCAAAAATTTATTGGGGCATTCAATTTGAATGAAATCATGCCCCTGTTCCGGAATCTTGACCGATCAATGAAATTTCTCTGACTTCATTTTTCTCTGAAGTCCTGATAAGAAAATTTGTCTCATTTTTGGTTCATTTTTTCTTTAGAAATATTTTATTTTTTGCCTTTTCCGTTAGTGATGACATACTGATATGGTACTATCTACTTAAAAATTGCTGTTTATTGGTGTGCTTACATTAATAGAATGTATAATCAGCTGCACTTGTTAGTCTGAACAGAAGAACTTTTTGCTTCTGGGACCTGTTTCACTTCTTTGTACATGTGCAGTGGAATTACAGGCAAAAAAAGCCACCCTGCTGTTAGTCTGTTACTGATATATATGGTGCTGGGGTATAGGGCATTAGTTGCTGTTGCATTTCAGAGCTTGCAGCGAATATTATTGTCGAGCTTTCTGAACTCTCAAGCCGGAATGCTTCCCACCCAAAGGTGGTTCCAGTACCTGGAAAAATTTTCATCCCTACAAGACTTGAGATGTTCAAGGAAGCCTTGTTAAGGATGGATGTGGATGCCTCTAATTTACCTGGTTCAAAAGCTGCAACCTTTGCACATGTCAGAGTTGTGTCTAGTTCCAAGAAAATTTCTAATCATCTAATGAAAGGATTTTGAGCCTAGAACTTTGGAAGATCAAGTGATACCTGAAGGAGAGCAATCACTGGAAAAGTTGCAGAGTTGCAGGGCCAGGGTGTCTGTGGAGAGTGCGATCTACTCTACTTATGCTGATGTGGTATATGCTGCTGCAATGAGCAACACTGATGAAACAGCAGTACTCTAATGTGGCACGCGATTACAGCAAGAAGAACAAAAAAAGGTTAAGAAAATTGATAGCATTATTTGCTAGTTTTTTTTAATATGTATTGAGGATTTTACTTGTATTTTGAGCTCGAGGCATCTCACCTGTAATACAGAAAGTAGGAAGTGTGGATTGTTGCCGTGCTATTGGTTAATCACTTGCTTAACTGCTGAAAGAGAGTTTTGTAAGAGTAATTAATCAAAATTTAGAAAGCCACCAATCCCCTGTTCTGGCTTCTTTTGCACAGAAGTTTTGGTCACCATCTCCACTTCTTAGAAACGAAGACATACTTGAGTGTTCTTTTGAACCTTAAATCCAGGAACTTTACTTGCAATTGACTTCACCTATTCCAACATCCTTCCCCACTTCATTAGACATTAGTCGACCTACTTCCAATCATTCTTAAACTCAACCAATCAGACTTTGTGCAACCTAACACTCTGGAAATTACCCGCATTAAACTTTTTAGGGAGAAATCAACCATGACCCCGTATGAATCTAGGCATGTAGATAGAGTAAAACGACTATTCCTTTTAAAAGTCATTTGATTATCCACGCGTCATTATATCATTGATCAAGATTATGATTATATCAATGTCAATATGATGATTTTCCTCTTGTTAGCTCTATATAAATACAAATATCCTAATATGTTTTTCTAATGGAAATGTGGCTAGGTCAACTAGAAAAAGAAAAAGGTGGAGCTTAATTAGATTAATTAATTGATTTAGTGGGATCATATTTACTTAAACGACAAAATAGCTAGAAATAAGGACTATCAATCAACAATTAGTTGGTTGAGTAGCACAGTTCCACCAACTAATTTAACTACTCCATGATGGTTCTTTCTCTTTTATTTTCTCTGCTTATTTCTCTGTACCAAACTCAGATTGTACTTTACATATCTACACGTAGCATGATTTATGATTCTACCTTGATAATTAAGGCTAACCAGGAAACTCCTAGCATCATTTTTCAGCCACTTCAAATTTCATATCTCATATTACAGCTTTCTTAAGTGTGATTTACTGATACTTTCTAGCATCTCCTTAATTAGTACTACTATCAAGTCACTAATGAGTAAAGACATGAAGGAACGGCGTGAAAGATGGATAATTCTTCCTTTTTCCTTCGGTTGCTCTTCTCGTTCAAGCATTGCTGTTGGCTCTCCAAGTCCTCCTAATGATGCAGTTCTAAATAGTACGAACTCTACCCCTTCGCTCATTCCTGGGTTCATATTCTTTTATCATGTGGTTGGTTATGCTAATCCTATAAGATAATCACGCTCATCATAACAATTTAGTTTCTCTGACTTGAATTATGCTTTATATGTTCTCCAAGGTAGACAAGGCAAGCAAAATGATTTACCCATCACCAAGAAAACCATGAACTCGATTAGCTTCAAGCTTCCGAAGTCCAAATTATCCCAAGGAATTCGAAGATTAATCAGAAGTCTGAAGACTGTTTCTCAATTCTTTGGTAAGTTACAAAAACAGAATTTCAAGAACAAAATTTGTTTTCATTAATACACAAGCTAGACAACAGTTTTGGAAAGTGTTTAAATAAAACTAAGTTGTAAACAATAATTTGTTGTGAAACTGATTGCTGTGATTCCTTAGTATACAAGGAGGAGATGGATGTCGAAGAAGAGAAAGAACTGGAGATAGGCTTTCCAACAGATGTAAAGCATCTAACACACATAGGATGGGATGGTTCTACTACGGTTTCTAATGACGCGAAAGGCTGGGAAAATTTGACCCCTTCAGAAATCATCTCTTTCCCATCAATTTCGTTGAAACAATTTGAGGTTGCAATGGCCGAGCAAGCTGCTGCTGCTGCAGCTGTTGGAGAAAAACCTGTTTGATATTTCAGTCATTCCTTATGGGAAGAAAAATACCTACTTTTCTTTTCTGTACAATCATAGGCTTATTGATTTGTTTTTAATGCTACATGTATCATGTATGTGATAGAAACAGAAATTCATAACTCAGTTTGATTAACTAGTATGGATTTCAACTAATTTAGCTCATTAAATCGTCCAAAAGATTGTATGTAATACTGAGTTTTGGAACTTATCAATCTTACAGTCCAAATTCTACATTCATTTTGGTTTTGGCAGATATTGTAGTTTTCAGTACCTATGCTAACTATCCATGGCTCTGTTCATACATCACCCATAAACTACAGACCCCACTCTCCATCCCCGGTTCGTCTCGAGGACTCAGTACTGTGATCAGTGATCTGAACTGATTGAGGAAGATCAACAAGTGGGTGATTCAGGTATTCTGACTATCCATCAATACACCATTTCCAACATCAAAATCCATATTTAAAACCCAAAATAAACTATCTTGCATAAAAAATCTGTTCATTATTGCTATAACATTGTTAATAACATACTCTGTATTAAGTTTATAAATATGTTATTGATGATTCATCTAAATTAAAAACATTTGCTAATGAAATGTTGGTTCTTGAATTTTTTCTAGTATTTTCTTATTGATGATGCACCCAAACTCAACAAAAAATTACCAAGAAAAAACTACCAATATGAAATTCAACTACCCACAACAGATATCTAAACAAAATAATTTGAACACCATTTAAAACAATTAATTTGTATAAAAAAAATTCATTGAAAATAAAATTAAATAATGAAGATTAAAAGTAGAATGTTGGCATCACAGCGAGCACAAAGCTCACAAAAAAGAGCAAAGGCTTTCTGGAGATGACTCAAGTTTTAAAGCTTGTTTATGTCTCCGATTCTGAGTTTTTCAGATGAATGAAAGAATGAAGACTTGAAGACAACCCAGAAACTGATAACTCTTGGCTGCCTCAGTGTCTTCAGAGAATCGGATTTAGGGTTTCACTAGACTATTGCCCCTTTTATATACAACTACTAATCCCAGTCCCGTCTGTTGAAACTTAACCTATTTGACTTTTCAAGTTGACCATACCACTCAACCGTCATAAAACATAGTCTCTCCGTTTCGTTATAATCGCACTAGTAGGGGGTGCATATAGTTTAAGAAAAATATAGAGTAAGCTTGTATGCTTCTTAGTTTTATTCTAATATATTTAAGAGATGCTTTAAATATTGAAATAAACACAAATAATTAATTATTTTTGGTGATTTAAGAGATAATTCTAGGACTTTTGAATTTAAGGTAAAAGAACATTTTTAGGGATATAAATGTTTATGCGCTATTTATAAGAGATTTCTTACACTTTTATAAGGTAGAGATAGGGATATATTTAAGAAATCATCCGACAAACAAAAAAAATTAGCAATAATAAATATTTTTTGGTGTTTATAGAGCCACAAGGACGGGGGTGAGAATTGATCCCAAGATCACCTGAAATCGGGAGGAAAGCTCTAATCACTTGAGTTATCCCTTATTCTCTAGATACTGAGTATTTGATAGTAATGTTACATCATATATGTTCAAGTATATAATAAATTTTGTAAGGAGAGTTTCCTAATGTTTATTTCTTCTAACCTTTAAAAAAACAAAAAAAAAAAAAAAGTATATAATAAATTTAATATAGAAGTATACAAGTGAAGTGACTGTGAAGTACGAAGCAAATTAAAGTATATAATTCATTTTTTATAGTAGTACTTAAGTATATCTAGAAAATCAAGTCACCAATGACTATGTAGATGTACGAAGAAAAAAAGAATGATAATAATAATAAGGATGTATGGGTACTTAAGTACAAAGTACTCCGTATATTTTAATAGAATAAAAGCAAAATATATCTAGAAAATCAATACTAATATTTTAAAACAAGAAGTTGGAAGGACACTTGTCCTCTTCTTGTTTTAAAATAATTTATTTTTTTTTATAATTTTGGTTTTTCCTTTTTTAAATCCTTTTTTTTTAAATAATTTTTTTTTACAAAAAAATTCAATCAAACGTTGCCTCTATCCTATTTTTTTCCATCCCAATTCCTAAGTATATTAATCATGTCTTTTCCCTAATATCAATGAAGCGTTATAATTCACTTTTTCATTTTTACCTATTATTTCTTTTCCTATTGTTTATCTTTGGTTT